GTCTTCTCCCCGGTCCCCCCAGACCCTGCTGTCTGCTGGGCTGTTTGGCAGAGAGGGGCAAGCTGTTCAAGTCTGCTTTATGAGCAGCTTGCTGGGGAGCGCAGGGTGGGTGCCGGTTCTGCCGCCTGTCACCCTGAGCCACCCTTGCCATCGGGGTGCAGCGCCAGCCTGAGGTCATCACAGTCATTTTCTGGGCTTCTGGTTAACCGTGAAGAATGGTTCGATCCTGTTGGTTCTCCTGTTTAGTTGCTCTGGCCTGTACTGAGATAAAGCCGTTCTCTTTAGTTCCTCCTAGTTTTTCATTTTAGGAGGAGACTAAGAATTAAGCATACATATAATTTCAGCCTAGAGGCCTTTTAGAATTTCTTCCAATGCCAACTCTAAGACAGCTGCAGCAACTTTGGAAGGAGGATCAGTTCTGTTCCAACAGAGGTGGAAGGATGTTTTCATATTGAGCGATGCGCGTCTGTGGGCCTCTGAGCGTTTCTTATCTGCTGCTTCAGAAACTGGCCTTTTAGATAACGCTACGTAGGCAGTGATCCAAGTTAATTTTTTGAAAGTAATACCAGACTAATGGAGGATATTGAAAATATATTGACATTTTTTTGGTCTCTTTGTTCTGTGCTTTTAAAAATCAGGCCCTTTTAAGCTTTTCAAACACATTAACAATTTTTATGTTGTTTCTTTGCATAGGTGTGTGTGCAGAAGAATGCTCTGTTTAAAGAGCATTATATTTTATAAAGCATTATAATGCTTATCCCAGTATATTCTAGTGATAAGCCCCTCTGTAAGCCTTTAAGTCAAGCAAATGAAATGGATGGTTTTGAATAAAGTGGAAAGACTCTGGGTGCCCGGCCGGCGGAGGGTGGTGCTTTGCTTTGCAAGTTATTTACATGTCACTGCGCTCTCCTGCTTCTGTTTTATCTCCCCGTGGCTCACGGGCTAAGCAAAATGTTTCTCACTCTTAGTTTTCATATTCTGTAAATAGTCTCAAAGGCAAGCGGATATAAAGGGGAGGAAAAAAATCAGCTGCTGAGAAAAAATGTCACGCCAGTACCCTCCTGTGTTGTGTTGACTGCCCCCCATATTTGGTTCCCCGTTAGACACGGGGGGGTGGGTGCTGGGGTGGTGACTGCCGGCAGCATCAGCTAGAACACGGCATGAGCGGCAACACGCGTGTTTTTTCTGCCTCTGTGTAGAGCTGAAGCCTTGCTTCAGTGCTTGAACTTGGAAGTGGTGTTGTTGCACGCATGTAGCCAGGTGCTTCTCTGAGCTTCTGTGGTGTGTTTCCCTTGACAGAGCTGATGTCTTGTGAAGAGCTACATTCAATATTACATTTGGTGCTACAGGCGGGGAATATCATGAATGCAGTAAGTAGAATTCCAACAAAATTTCAACTATTGATTATCCATCCTCACGTGTCTGTCTAGAGGTATATGTTGATTTTTTTTTTTTTCTTTTGATTTGTCTTCTTCAGGGAGGGTATGCTGGCAATGCAGTAGGATTTAAACTGTCTTCTTTGCTCAAATTGGCAGACACAAAAGCAAACAAACCTGGGATGAATCTTCTGCACTTTGTAGCACAGGTAGGTGGAAATGATTAATGAGATTAGTGTGTCCCCTGGGGCACTGAGGTCTTTCCGGGGCGTGAGGGGGTGCGCCGGGGCTGGGAAGGACAAGCCGGCTCCCTGGGCCGGTCCCTGACTTGAGCTGCTCCAGGGTGATGGGGTTGGAGGGCAGCAGAGGGTGGTGACGCCCAATGGTGGAGAATTCCAGTGCTAACACTGAGCATCTGGACTCTGGACTCAATGCTTCCAACATGGGGAACCGGCCCCAGCATAATGGCAGGAATAGCTTAACTTTGCTTTTAGTTGGGTAAGGTGATGTGGAGAAAGGGTGGCGTTGGGGAGAATTGGAAATAGGAGATCCTCTTGGTGAGAAACTGGGCCGAAATGTAGACTGAGTGTCTCGGGGTGGCGGGGAGGCGCCTGGGTGGTGAGTGAGGCCAGGCGAGGGGTCGAGGCATTTCTGGTGGCGACTGACTGGCTTTTGACGAGTTGTGTGCACAGTGGCGGTATGGTGAGCACGGCCACTTCCTCTTTTTTTTGTGCACTGTGGTTTGGTGGCCTGGCCACTGGCTTGAGGTCTGGGGCTGAGCCCTGCCCATCACTGGCATGGTGAGCTGGGCCTGGGTGAGCCGTAGTAGCCACTGAAAGTGAAAAATCAGCCAAGGATATGGCATCTCTTGGCTGCTAAATAATCGCAATGGCGAAGTGTGCTGGTGTGTTTTTCCTGCATGGAATCACCTGGTCGGAAAGCAGTTATGTAGCGTGGGCTTAACCTGGGAGGCCCCCGGGTTGTGTATG